TAGGAAGTGGACATAGTCACATATACACAGTGACGTCATCCATTGGTCCATCTACAGTGCGTATTTGAGGGGCTAGTTTGGCATTTTGGTTGTTGCCATAAACATCTTGGTATTTGCAACCAAAAACAACATGACAGAGTTCAACCAAACAATGAAGAAGACATTTTAAGGCGACCAACCATTATCTTACTAGAACTGAAAGGAGTACAGTCTTAAACCCTCCTATTGTCTTCGTTTCCCTCCCCCCCTTACTTTGGTGTTCGTAGTCAAATTTGACCGGTCCTGTTTTAACTGCTATTACATTAACACAAAAACCATTAATCATCACCACATTTCATTTAACACCCTTTCAAACTGTACATATTGTATCAGACTACTGGTACACATGAAACACTGCAGTCAATATACAAAGAACAGACACTGAACATGTATTGGTGTGCCAGGTGTGATCCATGTGGGGGGATGGGCACATAAGGGGGGGGACACACAGAGTATGTGCGTGTGTGTGTGTGTGTGTGTGTGTGTGTGGGTGTGTGTGTGTGTGTGGGTGTGTGTGTGATGTGTGTGTGTGTGTGTGGATGTGTGTGTGTGTGTGTGTGTGATGTGTGTGTGTGTGTGTGTGTGTGTGTGTGTGTGTGGTGTGTGTGTGTGTGTGTGTGTGTGTGGTGGTGTGTGTGTGGCTGTGTGTGTGTTGGATGTGTGTGTGTGTGGTGTGTGTGTGTGTGTGTGTGGTGTGTGTGGCTGTGTGTGTGGTGGCTGTGTGTGTGTCTGTGTGTGTGTGTGGCTGGTGGTGGGTGTGTGCTGTGTGTGTGGTGTGGTGTGTGTGTGTGTGTGTGTGTGTGTGTGTGTGTGTGTTGTGTGTGTGTGTGTGTGTGTGTGTGTGGTGTGTGTGTGTGTGTGTGCTGTGTGTGGTGTGTGTGTGGCTGTGTGTGTGTCTGTGTGTGTGTGGCTTGGGTGTGTGTGTGTGTGTGTGTGTGTGTGGCTGTGGTGGATGTGTGTGTGTGTGTGTGTGTGTGGCTGTGTGTGTGTGTGTGTTGTGTGTGTGTGTTTGTGTGTGTGTGTGTGGTGTGTGTGTGTGGCTGTGTGGTGTGTGTGTGGTGTGTGTGTGTGTGGTTGTGTGTGTGGCTGTGTGTTTGTGTGTGTGTGTGGATGTGTGTTGTGTGGTGGTGTGTGTGTGTGTGTGTGTGTGTGTGGTGTGTGTGTGGTGTGTGTGTGTGTGTGTGTGTGTGTGGATGTGTGTGTGTGTGTGTGGATGTGTGTGTGTGTGTGTGTGTGTGTTTTATCTGATCCGGATGGTTACTAATTCCTTTTCTTTATGGCGGTAATTTTTGGCCTGGAACACCATGGATGTTACAAAGTTGACTAAATCATCCCAAAATTCAATGAAAGTGGTGATCAGCAATTGTATATGTTTAAATGTCTACTGTGAAGGATATCATAAAGCCTGAATGCAATCGAATGTAAAACAAAAAAGTTATGATTGATGAAAGTAGTAAATCGGTCAGATTTGACCCGAAGACAACAGGAAGGTTAAGAAGAAAACACAGTGACCATCAAAACTACAACACAACCATGGTACCTACCGATCTCTCAATCACAATGTAGTTCCACTTTAAATCATACCCTGCTTTGACGTCTATTTTACTATAAATAGGACCATAATATAGGAAGTGATCATCATACTGTATTGAAGAAGACCTAAACTAGCAATTGAGAATGTAACATTTTCAGGAAAATCATAACTAAGGCAAAACAATACAAATCATGTTCTTATAGAATATTTAAAGTAAACTGTATAACCATACTTGTTTTAGGCAACTGGTGGAGTTGCCCCATGCTGGATATTAGAGAGAACGCCTGTTTAACGCACTTTGGCATTGGCATAGGAACCAGAACAGCAAACAGGTGTATTTTTGTCGCGGGGTACCTGCCAACTGTCCGATGCAGAGCGAAGAATTAGAGGTTGAAGAATGGCCCCAATGACGAGTGGCTGTTTAAATGAGAGACAACGTTACAAAAAATACTCTTTCCCAACCAACACACGTATGTTAAGTATCACTAGCATGGAGCCATGTAGAGTATATTCCTTCAAAGCTTGATCATGTTTACATTCAGCATGTCCACTGCCTAGAGAGTCAGAACAGTGTTCCAGGTCGGGATGTAAAACAGATTTGACACAGGCGCTGGTCTGTTTTGTTGCCGGAGCTCGGGTGGCTATTTCTGGCCAGGCTCCTATGATTCATCAGGGGCTGTTTGGAGGCCTGATGTGTCAAGATGTGTCATTCCACTAATTGTCACTCTGACTTATCCTAAGCCCCTCTTCAGCCCCTGAGCTCTCTTCTGACCCGAGATAATTCTGGTAAAAAAACTAAGCAGACAGAGTGTACACCTCAGGAAAGGAAAATCTGGTTTGGCTCTCTGGAGGTTTAGCGCACAGCTGGACTACAAATGTTTTCTGAACATGAAAACAGGTTTCTTGAACTTGCAAGTCAGTTTTTGGATCAACTAAAACATTTGTGCTAGTAAATAATTCAGCAGTACGCTACAGGGTTTATTCTCAATCTTTTGAAGGTTGAACTTCCCTCCTCTGCACCTGGCCTGCATTCAGGTGATTTTTTTTTGAAAATATTTTTTGAAAATCGTTGGCAGAAAAACACTTAAATTCTTTATGTATGTTTTGAAACACACACCATCATATGTATCCTTGACTCATGATTGCATAGATAGTATAAGTAAGGCATAGTGAACCATGAGGTGATTTAGATTTAACAAACACATTCTCGTTATGGTGAGTTTGTTATAACGTTTACTCTAAACAAGTGTGTAATATTCACATTTGAAAATCCTACTTTTGTCTCTCGCACTTATATAGTCTTTCTTACCAGGATCTTTTTGAATATTTTTAGTTTTAAAAAGGAAATCTGTGTTGGTGTAAAAGTTGTTACATCTGAGTCACCCTCAGTTATTACCGCGCTCTAATAATATATCAGGAAGAAGGTTTATTTTGGCCTTGAGTTTCGCCTCTGCCTTGTCTCAGCAGAGAAATATGATCCAATACTTTTCAAAATCATGGGTCAAAGTGTGTGTAACATTCAATATAAAGAGATGTTTCCTACTTATACAGTGCTGACACTGGGTCACATGACATGGAAGGTATTGATAAGATAAGAGCTTTTAAATAAATAAATATTACCTGCACTTTAACATGTTAAGAGTGCATTTATATATTTTATATGATGTGGAAAAGCCTCAAGTTCTATGGTACACTTTATGTTTTATAGGAGCCTATAAGTCCTGGTTTTAGTTCACTCCTCTAATGCATATTTTTCTCGCTTCATCTCTGCTGCTGCAAGATCAATGAAGTCCATCTTATCTCGTCTTATCTTAAAACCTACTCTTCAAAACAAGTAGCACTATACAGCCATCAAATGGATATAAAAGTGCACCATATACCATTGATGTATGGGGGAGAGAAAATACAGTCTAGTGGAATAAAAATCGGTCTACTCTGAGAACCACACCGTACTGCAGCTCTTGCATAAATATACCTCGTCCTCTAGCAGATGTCTACTGGGAGTGAGCATGATTATTAACTCTGTCTCAAAGCTTAAATATGCAGGTCTGTGCTGTCATCAAACTTTTCCTCAACTTCTGCACCACTGGCAGCCCTGATATGATTTATGAAACTAAATGTACTGGACAACAGTGAGCAACAATGCCTGGCTCGCTTTGTGTGCCGCTCGTACCGAAAATAAATGTTCACCTCAACAATGTCACACTGATACTTGCTATAATGAAATCATTTTTCATGCACATTTACATCCCAATATTATTCAGGAGGCTCAACATTTCCATTTGGGGCAGGAAAACACCAATTCCCCATCTGTATATAAGCCCCCATCGTGATTATGTGCTGGGATAGGCTCATATTACCCAGGGTATCCTATTTAATGTATTTTTTTGTGGTCACACTGAGTTTTCTTTATAATAATATCCAAAGTATTCGACTTAATTATGTATGCTGGGGTATTTGTGATTAGGACATGAATATGCATATAAACAGCTTAGCCCAAATATGACCTCAACTGAAGCATGAGCTGGTATCCACAGTATCCTCTCTGTGAGACTGCGCTCAATGGTGCAATGTCATTTTCACTGAAATGTTTTAATAAGCTCCTCTTAATAGGCCCACCATGATACTTGTGATTAGAAACAGACGCTGACATTTTTCACACTGCATATTTCTTCAACGATTAGCGTCTCTGTTTCGATGCTCACAGTTCATATTAGTATTTGTTCCTACCGTGACATGTCTCCATGCTTTAATGTTCAAAAAGCTCTTTATTTTTCTATACTGCCTGTGCTGCAGCACCTCTTTTCACCCTCTGTCTGAAACCAGAGCCCACTCTTCTCTGATTGGTTAGCTGGCTGGCTCTGTTGTGATTGGTCAACCGCTTAGAGATGTCCCGCCCCTTAGCCTATCACGCACAATGTGTTGGAACTCTAGCCAATAGAAGTGCGAGTGTTACTATGATAACACTATGTTGTAAACAAAGGAGTTGAATATAGACGTTTCAGGCATCTTCTCTTTTCTTATTCTATATTAAAAGTATGCTTCAAGCTAAAATAAATAGGCCCAGGTTCTTGGAGAGGTTTAAGGGGTCCCTTCCAAAATGAAGGTTGGTTCGATATTACTCTCCCTGTTATCTCCTTTCCGACAATACAGAAAGGCAGCCTTTAAAAGGCTCTGCCGGTTGAAACCTCTATTAGGTCCATTAAGACCATTAGGTCCGGATTGATTTTTACAAAAAAGTTTGGGCAGCTATCTTCTAACTTTATATTCCCCAAAACCCTGAGCATCCTAAAACATCAGGGTTTATAAACGTATTTATTTTAATCTCCTCCCAGAGGAGGGCTCTTCTGCACCAGAAATGAGTCCCACTAAAATCCGCGCCCCTGGGTTTGAGGGGTCTTATCTTCGGTTGCATTTTTAAATAGGATGCACTTTGTCCTGTGTTGACAGGTGAATCCAGGGATGTGACCGCTCGCGCCACGCACGCACCGCCGGAGCACCGCCCTCCTGTCCGCGTGTTGCCGGGAGGAGCAGAGGCGCGAGCACACCGGAGAGGAGCACCAGCACTCACAGCACCGTGGGGATGTGACAGCGATCTCCACAGTTGCATATGCCCGGTGAAAACCTCTAAGTTTGTCTTCTGTGAGGAGGAGACAAAGGAGACATTTAGACGCGCATGAGAGAGAGAGAGAGAGAGAGAGAGAGAGAGAGAGAGAGAGAGAGAGAGAGAGAGAGAGAGAGAGAGAGAGAGAGAGAGAGAGAGCGCGGAGGAGCGTCAGCCGCTGCAGAGATTTCCAGCGGTGCCTTCTCTGTTTGCTCGTGGACTCGCTCGAGATCGGAGTCCGTGAACCGAGCCAATCAAACATTTATGAGACAAGAGAGAGGAAGAGGGAGGAAAAGAAACACCCACTTCTTCAGACTCCCAAAACATCTGCATTTGGAGCCCTGCAGATGTAGAGGTGAGTGTCGCTGTGATCACTCTGAGTTGTTGTTTGCTGTGACAGTGAGTTGAGGTGATGGTAGCTGAAGGACTCCCAGGTAAGCACACGTGGTTGGACTGATAAGTGTGTATCAGTGTGTGTTCTGGTTCTTATCATCCCTGCAGCGTGTCACCAACATGCAGCCCGGGTCACAACTTTAGTGCCTCCTCAGCTCGGCATGTGGGGCTGTGTGTCTGATAACATCGGGAATGCAATAAATCAAACCCAGAGAGCATGCATCCAATTCCTACTCAACTCAGGGAGCAGGAAGAATCAGAGTCCAGATCTTTAGCGGTGTTTTTAAAGCACATTAAAGCTCCACTGGAGACATAAACAACAGGAGGTTTTTGTTTATCTAAATGAAATTTTTGCCTAATGGATTTCTGCAAAAAACATACAGGTGCCAGGATGTCAAACTATAACTGTGCGTGTTATAAGCAGGGTTGATTTAATAATGTTTACAATGACTTATTACCTAAAACATGTAATCAGTAACCTAATCTAACATCATTAAAACCCTGATTACTTCACTTTTGGAATACCTCAATATCAAACGCAATACAAATACACAATATAAAATAAATATCAATACCGTTACTTAACTATGAAAGACAACAGAACAATGTAACCTTAAAAAGTAGAAATCAAGATATTTAATTAAAACATTTCTCACTTTTCACTTCAGTGTTTGCAGAGAAAATAAATTCTATAATCATTCAATCGTCAATAGACCAACAATGAAAGTGCATAATGCAGGAACACAGTTTACAACGCATACATAAAGTGTGTATGCATGTGCTTTGCAATATACCATTCTTGATTTTAAAAAGGTAGTGAAGCATTGAAAGCCTACTAGTTATCCACCATTTTCTAAATAAACCAGTAATCTGATTACGTAATCCCGTTACACGACAACATGACATTTGGCGAACATTGTTGAATCTGTAAATGTGAAGTAATGCTTTGTTTTGGGTCATTATGAATGAAGTACCTTTATTTTTTTTTAACTGTTGGTGCGTCAAACTATTTGGCATTTAGGGCTGTTAGACTCTCAACTTCTTAAAGTAAATATTTAACTAAAGGAACATTCAATTAAGAAAGAAACTAAATATGAATTAGCAACTGCGCTTAAAACTAAAACAGACAGACCTGAAGTGTAAACAGCTTCTTTACAAACTTTGATATCCATAATGCAATGATTTTCACCTTATGAACGCTGGCTTTAAACTGTATACCGAAGGCACGCATTGTCCTCTATGTCGGCAAATAATTGCATCATCTGCGGGTCGGTGGCGTCCCGCGGTGCGATGACAGCTCCATCCGACAGGCCTGTAGCTAAACAGCAGCTCATTACAAGTTCAGCGGCTCGGCTTTCCTCTGGCAGGAGGCCGCCGGCTCATTAGGGGTCACCGAGGGGCGAGTCTCCCTCTCCGAGCCGCGGCTTGTTATAGCAGAGCTCTGTGAAACCACTGTTAATTGGATAGAATTCATTTCCACTGACAGATTGGAGAACAAGTCAGTAAAAGTATCTGCACTGTGGAAAACTCACAGTTGGACTGATTATGTTTGGTATGATAGCCGTGAGGCAGCAGAGATACACTACCACTCCACAAAGGCATGTTTGATCCCTACACTAGAAAATAGTTCACTGTGTCAGTGATGTTGTATTCCTCCTGGCTGCAGGCTGCCCCTGATCCTCAGTGTTTGTCTTAAAGACATTTGTGGAGTATTACATTCTCGGCTTATACAAAAATGAGCAAAGAGATGAAGACAGCTATAGCAACGCAGATCTGTCACTCAAACTGGCAACTCCTTTCCTATTCCCAACTTTAAGCCTTGATATCATTTAAACAGGTGAGCTAAGTACAGTTGTCATGACGAAAGGAAATAACTACAGAGATCAAAATCCTTGTAACAGGCTGTAATCTGTTTATTTCTAATGTGACATTTTGATATGGGGGACTTTGGCGATTGAACCAGGTGTGACCTTGGTGGAAATGCATATGTTTGTACTCCAGCTTTGACTTCATTCTTTCAACACCTGAGTTGGGGCTTGAATGCGATTCTTTTACAGAACAATAAGGCTGCTGATGTTTGATTAAAAGTCTGTTTAAGTGCAGTATTTAGAAACGTAACCAGGACGGAATATAGTTTGGGTAGTCTTATATAGATTTACATCAAATAGACCACAGTTCTTATAAATATGTCAGATGAATAACCTCCTAAATTGGTTGGGTTTCAAAATGTCCTATATTTCAATTTATTAACGGCAATATTTATACTGATAGTTGGGCATTTTAACATAGGGGGCTATGGCGATTGATCCAGATGTGGCCTTGAGGGAAATGCAAATGTTTGACTTCATTCTTTCTTCATCTGTGAGCTACGATAAAGACATGATCCCTAAGTGGCTTCCCATCCGCAATGAAGTTAACTTCAATCTTATGTTGGTGTGAAGTTTCTGCCTTGTTCTGTATGAGAACAAACAAAAACTACTGTGGCTATTTGGAATCAAATCAAATCAAGTTTTATTTATATAGCACATTTATAAACGATTTTTGGTCGATCCAAAGTGCTGTACATAAAATAAAAATAGCCTACAGTAGAGACACTTTACAGCAAATACAACAACACAGATTGTTCAGAATATCAGTATGAGAAAACAACACCCTCTGTCCTTAGACCCTCTGTCCTTAGACCCTCTGTCCTTAGACCCTCTGTCCTTAGACCCTCACATCGTACAAGGAAAAACTTCCAGAGAAAACCCACAGTTTAAAAGGAACATGGGAGAAACCTCAGGGAGAGCAACAGAGGAGGGATCCCTCTCCCAGGACGGACAGACGTGCAATAGATGCCGTGTGTAAATCAAAGAGATGATACATTTTACAGCATAATATATAGGAATAATGTATATTTAAGACATTAAAGCTTTGATGCACATTTACATATATTCAAATTGACTTCAGAGTGGCGAGCCAGCCTAAAGTAGACCAGGTGTGTGAAGACAGTGAAGCGGACAAAGATCCGCCGCTAAGACACAAGTCCATCGAGTACAAATCACAACTGCTCCTAGTACTAGACTCCTGGTACTAGGATGGGTTAAAAGCAGAGAACAAATGTCACTGTGTGCTGTGAGCTCTGCATGTGTGACCATTAGAGGGTTTCATCCCTCCTAATTCTTATATTATTATATGAAGGGGTCATGCTGTGCTGTGGCAATAATGAACCCAGTGAAAATTGGTATATGCTGCTGCTTTTACTGAAAAAGCCTATGTACATTATTTCTCCCAGCTGACTTGTTGCTGAAAGTTGCTCCAGCCTCCACTCAGGTAGTCCAGACAGCCACTCACTTGATTCTTCCGTGAAAGGTTAGACAAATGCCACAAATAATTGTCGGCCTGCCTCTTGACCGCGCTCTTGCCCCCAGAGTGTTACGGGGGTTGATTATCCGAGGTGGTGCGGGTCATGAATGTCTGCAGCTGGAATCTATTGGGGCAGCCATCGAGCTTCGCTGTGACACGGAGGAAGCGAGGCGTACGCGATCGGAGAATGAAGGTTGCTTCAGTGATACTGGATCTGTTCTCCGGTGTGTGAGGAGAAATCTTAACGCCAGCGCTGACTGAATGACTGAGCGTGTGACTGACTTCCTGCCCGGCTGAACATTGAAAGAATGGACCGTACTTACAGCATGCTTAGCGCCGATGCCAAGATTATGAGAGGAAGGAGTTGAAACACTCCAGGCATGAATCCAGACTGTATATTCATACACTCGGAGATGCATTGATGTTGCCGTCAAGTGCTTAGCTGGTTCAGTGAGCAGCGTGCAAAGAGTGAATATCATGTTTATTAAGAGACGGGAAGAGGAGGGGTCTCAGGGTTCGGGTATAATATTCACTCCCATATGCTCAACATAATGTTTGCTGCTACTTCAGGAAGAGTGAGTCAGTCGTAGACAGGGACGTTTTTTCTCGAGTTCACCTTGAATCCCAGCATCTGTTGGTGAAGTCTGTGACGTTCAATTGAATAAAGTTTTCTTATATAAGTTGGTTTCTGAGGATCCAACATAACGACTTCATTTGTTATTTCAGTATGAAGGAAAATGATGTCTGCCAGTGCCAGATGTCCACTTTCTTCAAATTCTTCTCCATTTTCACTACAATTGAAGGTGCATTACTATGAGTTTCATAACTGTGTGAGCAAGAGTCTTACTCAGAGAGACTAGATGGGTTTCTTGCTGTTTGTTATGTATAAATATAACCCTTTTCGTACCAAATGTATTTGGTTACCCTAACCCTAACCCTAACCCTAGTAGTGGTAGGTTGGATGTTATATTGAGCCAGGAAGTCAGAAAAAGTCAAATCTTGTTATGATGGTTAATGAAATTAGACACATGTTCTTTCCACTGAGGTTTAATACTTTTTTCAATAGCTTTTTTTTTGCTTTTTATGTATCTTACACTCAACTACTAGTATTTACTCAACTACTGTTCACAAGGGTGAAACAAATCCTTACTGACAATTGCACTCTTAGTTTTATGTAACAGCTGTTCTTGGAAAGAAAAGCTTACGTTAAGATAGAGACGTTATTAAGCCATAATGCCTCAGACTGAGCAGTGCAAAAAGAACAAAAAAATACTATTGTATCTTATTTCAGCTTCAATTGTACACTACTGAGAGTTCAATACTTTTGATGCTTTAAATGTATATAATAATTGCTTAATACTGTTAACAGTGAAATCCTTACTGACATTTTACTGACTTTTTTAGGTAACAAACCTGTCCTTGGGAAGAAACACCTGGAGTCTCAGAAGGAGAAAGAGACTTTGTTAAGTCCTGTCTGCCTCACATTGCAAACGTTAAAGGGCCCATGTCATGCTTTTCTGGTTCTTACCCGTCCCCTTGTGTGTTATGAAGCTTTGTCTGCATGTAAACGGTCTGCAGTCACAAACCCTCAAAGTACACCCTGTAGCGAGTACAACT